CCTTGCACTCTTTCTTCACAAAAATGACGAGTCAAGCTAGGTGATGCAAATCCCAAAGCAAAGAGGCATAAATCCCATGATAAGGGCTTGATTTAGAAGGCAAATTTCAGTTTTTTCCTCTCCTCATAGTTTCAAAATGAATCAGCCCTCTATCTTCAATGACAAGAGATTGAGGATGAGCATTGCATAAAAGCCCTGATTAGAATTGGGAATCAATGTCTTGAATGGCAATCTATTGATATTGATAACTTGAAAGGTACTTGCACAAGTATTTTAAACCAAAATTCCATCCGTAGAAGAAAGATTTGACATATAAAAAGTCATGAAATCCTGATCTAAATCATTGGAAACAATAACCATAATTTAGTTCCATGATTCTTCAAGAAACCTTGACTTCAAACCCTAACATTTCTGCGAGCTTCCACAACATAAATTTAGATCAATTTTATATTATAGCCCCTTGATTCCAAATCACCTAATGATCTTCGTGCATAGTATGGATTAACTCTAAACAAGCCCTTTGTTTATATGCTTCTAATTTCAGAGTAGCAGTCAAACTATCTACAAATCCATACATAGCACATAACAAGCAATAAATATAAAATAAAATAGGCATTTACACACATATCACCCATTTCTTATGTATTTACCTATTGAACACCTAAATTCTACATTTTACATTTATCTCACCTAAATCTTCCATTTCGCATCAAACATGGCCAATTTTACCTTTTAAAGAAGTGATATACACCGTTTCATCAATAGGTAAAGTGGTACGTATGTAAAAATTGAAGTTCAGGTGTAGATATATAAATACATAGGGCTTGAAGTGTATGTAAATTTCCAAAAATTAAAACCAGTGAAACTGAAATATCACAAGAGCAGTAAGTATTTCTCACCTAGAAGGCTCATGCCTAATTCACCCGAAACTTGTGTTGACAAACGGTCTTCAACAGAAGGAGCCTCTAATGTGGATAAAGGACTCCGGTGTTCATTGATTGGACTGCTGTAAAATGAAACAGGACTTGGAGGGACCTCCGTAGAGTTATCCTAAATTTTAAAAAAAGATTATCAGAAACCATTATTGAACCAAAAAAGAAGCTTTTGTTGGTATTACAGATGGATCAGATCATTAGCTTTTTACCTCTACCATGCTAAAATTTCTGATCATGGAGGGCATCGTCTCAATGGACTTCATATAACCGAATGGTTCAGAAGTCGCTTCCCCGATCGAAGCCATCTTCTTACCAAAAATCTTTCCTTTAAAACTGAGATTTCTTCTCAGAATGGAAACTCTGCCTCTAAAGTTAAAACCATCCTTCTTGTTTCTGTTCATTTCAGCTGAATCATGTTCAGTAGTTTCAAGTTTTTGACTTAATTGATCTTCTAGCAGAAGTTTACCAAAAGCAGTTCCTGAAGCTGGAGCTGAAAATGATCTAATAAGATTTGAAGGAGACACTGCATCACCATCAAAATCAATCATCTTATTCTGCTCTCTCCTTAAGTACTTCGGAATCGACTCATTCACAGCTTTCTTCTCCTCCCAAAAGCTCGCAGCTTTCCCCTCCTTCGAAAACTCAGCCATTGATTTCGATCTCTCCTTCTCACTGATCATAAGAGAATTTCCCGCCCTAGCGTCATCAGTATCATCTTTTAACACATTTTTCAGCCGCTTAGATATGAATTTTCTTGTATCTTTCTTAATGGAATCTTCAGATTCCTGTTCATTTAGGCGAAAATCGCTCCGGTATGATCTCGCGGATTCCTTTGTAACGCTTTCTCTGACATGCTTCGCTATATCCCGTGCCAACTGTTTTGGATCAGTGGACCTTTCGTGTAGCGAAGTATGAGCTGAGTTACCCCTTCTCACAGACTCAGTTCTACCCTTCCCTTCCATTTCTAATCTGAGTCTTTCCTTCACCTCTTCGAGAAAATTCTCCATTCTACCACCTTTTTCCAGTGCCTCAGAAGAGCCACCCCTTTGCTCCTCTATTTCATTAATGTCAGAACTTGGTTTCAGAATCACTATCCTTGTGGGTGAACAAGATCTACTCCTTTTCTCCTGAAACTTAGGAGCTAGTTTCTTCCTCGTGGCAATGTCATCTCTCATTAGGGGCACACATTGCTTATCAATATTAAAATCGGGATCATGACAAAGATTATTATCAACCTGATTTGGAGTAATTTTAACTTTATTAACTGAAGAATACACATCTGTTTCTATAGGTTTCTTTTGCGAGTACCTACTTGTATTGGTATACCTTGTCAATTTCTCTATGTTGAGGTGATTTTGCTCATTTTTTGATCCTTGAACGAAGTCATTTTGATCGGGGTTGGTCGAACACTCCCACGATTTGGACGCTTGCCATGACTCGAATTCTTTTTTAAATTTTTGGAGTAGTTCTTCTTGCGGATGCTCTCTTCGGTGCAGTTTTTCTGAGCTTAAAATTTTGGTCGATGAGCTGGAATATTGTTTCTTATTCAAGTTTTGAGACAAATGCTCTTTTGATTGAGTGAAAGTAGACGGCTCGGATTTAGCAGTCACAAAGCGTGGCACCCTTGAAATGTGTTTTCTCGGGTTTGCATCGAAACATTCCTTCCCTTGGATTTTATGCCCTTTTTCAGGAGGCAGAGTATCCATGCCCATTAAGCGAGCGACAACACCAGGTCCGCCACGCTTTGTAAATTCCGTATTAGCAATCTCCTCATTGAGTAGTAACTTCATAGGAGTATTTGTTGGTATCTTTACCTGAGAATAATAGTTATTACATAGAATAAGTGGTTTTTCTATTTTCAAAAAGAAAAAAAGTGATACTTTAAATATTGCAATAGGAAAAAAAACCAAAAGACTACCACAAAAAATGATATTATAGTTAAGCAAGCCACAATAATCAATATCAAGAAATTAAAACTAAAATCATACATTTGGTTACTTATGCTTAAAAAATTATTATCGTAAATGATGAAATTTCATAGCTTCACCATTTGGTTGTATGTTGTTAGAACTTAGAAATTAATTGTGATTTTATGCTCTACAAGCTCTCTCGAAACATTCTCAAATGTAATGACATTATTTTACATAAAGAATGAGTGAAAATGGAAATGAAATTATAAATTTATAAAAAAAAATTTCTATTTACAAGTAGCTATATGATCCCAAAGATAGAAGGAAGTGCCTACACATAAAATTAATACGAAGAGTTTTGTAAACTTATTAAGATGTAGTTAAAAGTAGAAGTTCTAGCTATTAGAAAGTGTTGGGAATAAGAGAACCCATATTCAAATAAAAAGAATGAGAATTAATAGAAAAACGGAAAAAAAAAGGTTATGCCCTATTATTGCCTCTACATATTTCATTATAGTTTCATTATGAAAAATTATAATCATAATTTCTTCAATATAATAATGAAAAAAATAGAGCAGCCTAAAATATCATATATTTTTCAAAATGCCTTTGAATGCCTTTAGAAAGCTTAGCCCTCGAACTCTTAGGAGGTGGGAGGTGGCTCTCTAACTCATTTCAAATGCAATGATAAAACAATTTTGTTTTTAAATGGCAAAAATAAGCTCCACAACATCATAGAATACTTAACTTGGAATAGGAAGTATAACTAACCGTTAAATTCTCATTAATGCCATGATGCTTATTAGCCATTTCCACGGGTAAGTCCAAGCTATTTCGAGGAGCTTCAACACCTACACAAATAAGAAATGAGTTAAACAAGTTAGCCAATTTTTTTTTAGTAAAAGAAATTTAAACAAGAACAAAAAGATATTCTTTTTTAATTTTCATTATTTATATTTTGATGGTTCTCTTCATGAGATTTAAATAGAACTTAAGCATATTAACATATCATATGTTTGTTTAATGAAGCACATTTAAGATAGAAAATACCAAAATGTTGTTAATATCTTACCATCATGATGCTTGTTGTGTGTATTCAAGTGCCTAGCCAAATTAGACCCCCCAAATGAAGAAACATTTGACTTCCCCCCCATCAATCTTTCGAGAAATCTCCAAATTTCAAGTTCCAAATACTTCAAAAGTTTACTATTTATTATGCAAAAAAAGCATATTCTCTGCACTATCGAACATCATCTGTTAAAAAATTAACAGTTCGATACCTGCATAATAAGCATTATACAATTCAGCCTTCAGCAAAATAAAATAGTTCATATTAGTAAATCTGAGAAATTATGTGCATTCCTATAGAGACCCTAAGTTATTTTGAAAAAAAAAAATAGTTAAAGATACCTTGACTTAATGTTTTGTAAGAATTGGCCTCATAATTGTTAATTTTATTTTTCTACCTATAAGTAAATCAAAGCAATCATGAGAAGAAAAGCAGGTAAATCTTGCAAACCCCAATTTTGCAAAAAAGAATGATATGCCATTTCAACGATGCCCTTCCGGGATTAGCAATCCAATTTTCCGATGAAGATCACAATAAAATCAGATGAGACAGAATTCTCATTCGTAAGTCGAGTCTTAATTATGGCTTTGAAGAACTTCAATTAAGGAAGCATAGATGCATTGATTAAGCAAAGAACACAACAGCCAGATCAAATCTTCACAAAAAACAGAAATCTCTAATGAGAAATTAAGATATTTCACAAAATTTAATAGTGAAAGTGAGAAGCCCCAACAATTTATCCATAATAAGAAAGAAAACACTCCAAATCACAGAAATTAAAATATCATTTCAGACAAATCACCTGATCCCTAATAACTCCCCGCCCTTCCGCTTTCTGATTTGTTTTCCTTAACAAAAATTGATAATTCCACGCAAAGAAGAAGAAGGGGAAAGGCAGCCGCGTCGTCCTCGATACCCCGTTATGGCGGAAATGTTAACCCTTTTCAAGCTCTCATGGATGGAAGAGATGGGGGAAAGGAGTTTAAAGAAGTAAGCCGAAGACGGCTCCTTCTACCTCGTAATGATAGCGCTTCTTTTCTTCTTTAAAACCCTATTTTCACGAAGTTTTTCACTCTTCTACAGAACTTAAGCCACGTAAGCAACCGAAGACTGGCATTTCAAAATTTGCGTCAGTAAGACTAGGGTTTTCACCTATTAATCTCATGTTCATTCTTTTTTTTTTTTCACTGACACCCTTCTAAACTTTGATAATTGCAGATTCAGCGAAAATCTGCAATGCCAAACCAGACTGAAATTAAATAAAATAATTTTTACTGCGCCGCTTCATCAAAATCTCAATTTATCTTCAGAATTTGTAATTCTATTGACTTGATCTCATAACTGCTGGCTGGCATATACTAATTGCAGCTGAACTATTATTCTTCCGGATAAACCAACTTTTTCTGACCAGAAGTTCAATATTAGAGGGAAAAAAAATTTCAAATAAGATCTATTATTATTGTTATTATTATTACTATCAACTAAGCATCCTTCTCAATACAATTACAAATATAAGTAGCAGTTGATGATTCTGAATAAAATTATCGTTAATTCCCTTCGGGTGGAAAAATCTCCTTGGAAATTCCGTTAGGTTAGTTGGACGCGATGAGTCCATTTGGCGCCATTTTTAAAATGCATCAATTGTTACTTGGAGCCTATCAGAAGCCTTGTCTTTCTTTTTAGAATAAACATTAATTAATTATATATTATTTTAAAATTGGAAAGATAAGTTAACATATATAGTTCCAAAGATAAGTTGGTCTTGCGCTTATTGGGGCCTCCATTTGGCACCATTTTTATGCACATAGTTATTATATTTCTTGAGTAACGGTGGGGTAAAATGAATTTTGAGGGACTCAACAAAATTAAGAAGATGAAAATTAGGTAGATTTAAGCCAATATTATTGGTTGTATTTGGTGGTAAATTTATTCATTTAAAAGTAAATTGGGCGGTGAGCTTGAGCTGATCAATTATTCGCAAAATTATTTAAAATTTTAAAAGTTGTAACTCTCATCTACAACTTATTATTTCCTTTCATCAAAATACCATTTTGATTTTCTTATTTCTTTGTATGGTGAGAGAAATAATATATGTTAGAAATCAACTATAATGAATTTATAGGACTATGTCAAAAATAAATTACTCCTATTTTTATTTTTAATGAGTAGAAACTTCGCCAGTTACCAAGAAATTTATTTAGCATGCAATCCAGCATTAAAATTTAGTTGGTGTTTTTGAGGATATCAATGTTGTTCGATATAAGCATTGTAAACTTAGCAACATCACCGGTGATAGCGTCGTTGGGCAATTTCAATAAGAACAAAAGTGTTGATGGCACAACATCTCAATGGTGATAGTTATCAATAACATATCGTAGTCTATTGAAACTGCATTTGAAGATATAATTTGCAATAAGTCACTACCTATTCCATTATTACTAAACAACATCCAACATTTTAATGATATTTTCAAATGTTAATAAATTAAATACAATAACAAAAAAAACATAAATAGCTTGAGGAAAATAGACACAAAACTTTTGCACTGAAACGTTGCTTATAGATCTGTTTCCTACAAACCTCAATAAAAGGAGAAAAAATGTGCCAAGAATATGAAGAGACAAACAACTTATCTACAATGTTGCTTCAAATTTAAGAAATTTGGCCTCAAAAATAATTTAGTTATATTTCCCAATAAATTTAATAATGAGCATATTTCTACAATTTCAAAAATTGTGGAGCATATAAAGTCAACATTTGATGATGATAATAATAATAATAATAATAATGATAATTATAATAATAATAATGATGATTATTATTATTATTATTATTATTATTATTATTATTATTATTATTATAATCATCATCATCATCATTGTCATCATAATCAAATTCAAATTAAAATAGTCTTCTTTATTCTTTTCTCTTAAATACTCTCCTTTTTTTTAATAAGTTAGAAATCTTCTACTTACCGTTAGCAATTACAAAATTGTCCTATTTGGGATCACATTTTGTTTTTTGTTTTTTATTTATGACAACAAAAATCAGAAACCAAACTCAAAAATAATATTTGTTTATTTTTTTAAATTTTATTTTTAAAACATATGAGGCTTGTTTTCAAAAATCAAAAAATATAAAAATTGTGTTTTTGTTGTTTTAAAAATATGTTTTTTGGAGCATTTTTTGTGCAAGGCTTTGCCGCAACACTTTGGCCGCCACCGACTCCATCACAACTCAACTCGATGTAACCTGTCATATCGAGACGGGTCATCTCATGTCGATGTCATGACATATAAATTAGTATTTAAGATCTATTTGAAAGGAATCAAGTTTCGTATACAGAACTACTAATACATCAAATAATGTAAAATATAGATAATCAAAATTCATATACAGAACTACTAATACATAAAATATTGTAAAATATAGATAATCAAAATTCATTTAGATTATCTCAATATACAATAAAATAAACATATACAACAATCGCCGCAACACTCTGGCCGCCACCGACTCTATCACAACCCAACTCGATGTAACCTGTCATATCGAGACGAGTCATCTCATGTCGATGTCATGACATATAAATTAGTATTTAAGATCTATTTGGAAGGAATCAAGTTTCGTATACAGAACTACTACTACATCAAATATTGTAAAATATAGATAATCAAGTTTCATATACAGAACTACTAATACATCAAATATTGTAAAATATAGATAATCAAAATTCGTTTAGATCATCTCAATATACAATAAAATAAACATATACAACAATTATGGTTTAATCTCTCTATCATTCAAATGTAAACATTAACATGACTGTCAAAAATATAGATAAAATGTACTGACATACTTAGAAATTAGGCTCTCACAAGTAGTGCAAATGTCTTTACTCCACCTAAGCATTTCCCTTCCATGAAACAACAAATGTTAGTAAAATAGGGGTGAACAACAACCGCTCTGTAGACTACTCAAAATCTGCTACCATTTTCGATATTCAAAAAATAAACATTTATTTGATGTAAATAAATTCAACGTGCCAAAATATCACGTGCAATAACTATAATAGTTCCAATACAAGAAATTGTAACTACAATAATCATATGATTGATAACAGTATAAGCAACATGATATGATAAGTGCAGGAAAATAATATGAAAATCAATTTCAATTATTTATTTGAATTATTTTAAAAATTTTCTTTCCCCTTATCTGCCACCAGTCGTCCGCAAGCACCCACCCGCCGTTCGCCGCCCGTTGCTTGCCTCCTGCCGCCCGCCTCCCCAGATGTAATGTTTCATGTTGGGTGGAGCAAGAAAGACATTGTATATATCATGAGGGGTAAAGCTTAATATTGGAGCGCACGTGGACCCAATTATTTTATAAAAAATATGATTTTTTTCTTTAGAAGAAGTAAAAAAAGCCCAATCAAATAAGTTTTATATTTTTTTATTTTAAAAAATATATAAATCATAACTTTGCCAAATGCATTTTCAAAAAAAAGAAAATAAAAAATAAAACAAAATCTAAATAAAAATAAAAAATAAAAAGTGATCCCAATCAGCCCCCTTATAAATCTCAGTTATAATTGATTGATGGACTGAAAATAAATATTTAAAAAAAAATTATAATTATATTCATGTATTTTTCTATTTATATACATTTACAGACTTTCTTCAACCTATTTGATTTTGTTTATCATTTAATTTTAAAACATTAAGCTTTGTTATTGATTGTAATTGATGTCAAGAAAAATATCTGGAGATCAAATTTCGTTTGCATTCATGAAACTAATTATTTATGAGATATACGTGTAAATACGACAGATTAATTGAATTTTGATTTCATCTATATAGTTTAAGCTTAGAAGCATAAACTTTAAAATTTATAAATAATCATTTTATTTTTTTTCAACCGCAAGAAAGTTTCAAACACATCGAAATCATAAACAAAATCACCCATTGGAAAAAAAAATAGATTTATTTTACTGATTATTTTCCTTTTGTTTTAAAGATGATAAAGCGAGGAAATAATTTCATCTATAATATAAAAAACTATTTCCGGAGGATTTACATACATAACACACAATTCTATGTATTTACATATCTAACACCTAAAACATAATTCACTTTTATAATACAAAACCTTTAAGAACAAATAAAAGTAACGCTAATTTTAATTTTCCTGCATGTCTTGATTTGATTGATTTTACCATTAAAGTTAAAATTTGAAATTTATGAAGGTAAATATATTAAAAGTGGTGTGTTTGTAAAGTTCAACCTTTTCTAAAAGGATTAAAGAAAAAACACAAAATATAATATATAACTCAAAAAAAGCCACAAATCGCTCATAAAAAATCTCAATCCTACATTATGGGATTGTTTGGTTCCATGTAACAAATTATAGAGTAAAAGAGAATGCAGTGTATTATAATCGCCGTGCATTCATGCTCTATAAGCATATCCACATGCCGTTCAACCCGCTCTAGCGCCAACAAAAAAAGAGCTTTGCAGCATTCCAAAAAAAGCTTTGCATAGAAGCACCATCTTAAGCATTCCAAAAACAGGAAAAGATCAGATTATGAAATGTAATTCAACTTCATTGCTGATTAGAGACAGAAGGAAATCCAGAGGAAACTTCAAGGTTATGGGAGCTTCGATTCATATTATAGCGTAACCACCAGACTATAATCAAATTATTTCTTCAAGTTCTATTAGCATGTGAAGAAATAATACCCAAAAAAATAACAAACCATCCATATTGAGATACATTCAAAATACGGAAAAAGTTTCATAGATAAACAAAGTATGTTGAGCACTAAAAGTTCCAATAAACTCAGCAAATTATGAATTCAAATTCACTATATATTCATACGTTCAAAATAAAATGCTAAGTAATTTCAATCTAATGAAATTATGCCCTCATTCATCTCCACAAAACTAATTCACTTGGTTAGCTCACTTCGCATCAACCTAGCTTTATACTCCATTGACTTCGAGAGAAACACATGATTTATTATTTTGTTCTTCGATAATTTATCAAAAATAATATCAGTTTCTTCCTCTAAAAGTCCTGAAATATTAGACAACTTTGTTGTTAACTC